ATAAAAATTCATCTTTATGCTAATAAAATATAATTTTACCAAATATATATAAACTAAAGTCCCTATTCATAGCTACATATTTCTTACTAAAATCCACACATGTAAACCATTACAAATCATTTAAAAATTATAGACATATCAGAACATATTTAATCCATATTAAAATGTTATGGACACTTATTATGTGTATACATGCCAACTATAAAGTAAAAAATAATAGTAGGATGCCATTACTGATACCGATAGGTAGTCGTCGATGAATGATGCCATGCTAAGCTCCTTCCTCCACTCGATTTTCTTTTCCTACGTGTGAACATCATCACATGCTAAGTATACACTTAATGAGACATTTCATAAACAAAATATAGCTTATCGATATAAAAATATCATAATAAACCAAAATACGGAAAATATGATATAAAAATGCATGAACTCATAAAACTGACTTATTAAAGTAATTCTTTCCTCATATAACATGTAAAAGTAATGGTTCATGTATAGGGCATATTATGCCAAATCAGAGTATTCTATGAAAGATTTACTTTCACTAGAATCAATCAACCTGCACTTTTTACATTTGTTCATATAATAACCTAATGCATTAAATGAGAATGCATGATACGTGAGTCAGACGAGTGTGTTCAATATCCAATATAACTGCCACATAGATAATATGCACCTTAGTTCCAGAAGTACACAAATGTACTAATACAAATACAAGTGATGTAGAACACAAGATCATGTATAGATATTTAGGATGGTAGTTCACAATGTCAAAATATTATGAACCCCATAATACATATATAGTGCTTGAAGTACATGAATGTACTAAAATAGAGTCAATCGATGATCACTCCAACTCATGACTTGCCAATTGTACCAATAACTCTTAATGCACATACAACGGGTCTTTTATATCTGAATCATATGCCATTCATTTATCATAATAATCCATAGATACTAACATATCAAAATATCATATAAAAGTGCATTGCACAGTTCATAATTGAAAACATTCAAATATCATTTAGCAAAATAGTGTGAAAATATATCAAAAATATCAACATCAATAATTATATCAAGATCAAAATTATTTATTTATCAAAAGTATTCATTGATACAATTATATATCAAATATCATTATATGATTCAAATCTTTTTCTTTCCAAATTATCCGAGGTTGACTCATCGCAAGAATTGCTCATATCATACATATAATAATAAGTAAGAATGCACTCACCTAGTATTTAGCTTGCAAACTTTATTTAACGACATAAGCCTCACTTCCACACTTTTTCTTAGCTTTTAGCTTGTTGTGCTCTCGAATTTTGATCATGATCTATACGGACAATATTTATAAAATATATACATTTCAAAGTACATGTTAGTGTGATACTAACATAGGCTTATAATAGGAAATAAATTCCTAAATTTTCTTTCAATACTTAGTCGATATTAATTCTATTTCATAACATAAGCATCAACCTTAGCACTTCAAAATATAACTCCAAATCCTTCAATATTCAAATCAATAAATAGTTCACATAACCTTTCTAATTCCACAATTTAACCACTAAAATGAATTTTTTAGAATTTATCTCAATATTTTCATAATATTCAAAACGGTCCCTTGTCATTATTCTTCCATTCAAGTTTCTAACAACATAATCAAGCATTGTAACATTTCATTCTCATATAGCACATCAACTTTTAAACAATTTTCATTTCAATCCCAAACTTCATATAACTTTCAATTTGGTCCCTAAAGATTACAAACTTCCAAATTGGTCCCTAAAGATTACAAACTTCCAAATTGATCCCTAAAGATTACAAACTTCCAAATTGGTTCAAACAACTTTCTAAGGCTTGCAGAATTATCCATTGATCATTTCTAATGTTAGAGATTTTTTTTTAATATTTTTCCTTTTTCCCCTTAGGGTTGAATATAAAAGGTTACATTACACATAATTTCCAACTTAATTCAAGCATGAATTCAACCCCTAAACATCATTTCCAATCATCTACAATCAATCCCATATCAAATTCAATTCAAACATAAAATTTCAATATAAACCCTAACATAGTTGACTTGAAGAACTCCATTTCTATTGGGTTTTCATCACCTTTCTTGGAAATGATTCTACAAAATCAATTTCATCATAATTAAACCTTATAACATGAAAACCTAATATCCCCTTTATCCACCTAATTCAAGGTTTCAAGCATGGAAATCATGAACAAATGTTACCGAATAATAGAGAATTTCATGTAGAATAATTTTCTATTTCACGATTTCATCCAAATTCTAACTTAAATGGCTTGAAAATTTAAAAATAAAACTTTCTCCCCTTACCTATGGATGTCACGACACCAAGGAGGAAGATGAACCAAAATATTGAAAATTCTAAACAAAAATCTTAAGCCATTTGTCATGTATTTAATTAAAATGAATTAAAAATTCATTTTAATGCATGACAAATTTACCCTTATGATCTGATGATAGTTACCATACCACATGTCCATTTTATTCATCCTAAAGTAAAAAAATGAACAAACTAATTCATGACTTTCAACTTTACCCTTGAAGTTTTCCCGAAATTACAATATCTCCATTTTAATCTAACAGTCCCGATTTAACATGGAAAATCAACTTAAATCCAACAGTCCATGTTAAATCCTACCATTTTAAGACATGAAAACTACATTATTAACCTTTCCCTGTTATCTCTCAAAATATATTGAATATTCGATTCAATCCGATTATCTGAATATTTTTCCAAACTTTATCACTTTATAGCCATTAATACAAACTCCGGATCAAAAATCCGCGTAACATGAAAATACCACTCTTGGGGGTAAACTATTCATTTACGTGGTTAAAATACATAACTTTTAAAATTACAACTTGATCACTAAATTTTTCCATAGTTTACATTTTTTCCTCAAAACTTTCAATTTATTCATTTTGGTTACTAGTCAAAGTTTGCGATATTACAAAACCCATATACACAGAAAAAATTGTGATGAATCTAAAATTCTTGGTATATTAAGTAAAACTAATTTAATCCAATTGAAAATCTTGATTCTCTTTACTCTCTTTCGCGAATTTGATTATATATATATATATATATATATATATTAAATATCAAAATATCCTAGCAAGAACGATTGAAAATCACTGAAAGAAATGAAACCTACTATTCAAGTTCAATAAAATGGTCTGCTGAGTCGTGAGTTCAAACTGCAAAGTGGGATTCGACGAGTGGACCCCTTGTCCCTTTACCTCTTTAATTTAACCATGGAGAGGTTAAGTCAGTTTATATCACTCTCGGTATCATGTAGACAATGGTCAACTTTCAACCTTGCAAGACATAGTCTGCCTATCTAGCATTTATTCCTCGCTAATGCCATGATGTTGTATGCTAAGGCTGACATTACTAATTCATTGAATATTGATGCAATCCTCTCCTCTTTTGGACACTATTCAAGCCACATAGTCAACAAAAGTAAGACAAAATATATTCTTCTATCCAAATACTTGCCAGGAGATTTGAAACGAAATTTGCAATCGATTGGGATTTCAGTAAATATAGGGAATGAGTATATATCTTGGAGTCCCAGTTTGTCATATTGGAGTAACGAGGGATCTTTATAACTTCATTCTCCACAAAATTTAGAAAAAGCTTGATGGCTAGTTAGCACGCAAATTGTCCTTCACCGGGCGTATCACCTTGGCAAAATCCATTTTATTGAGTATTCTGTCATATCTTATGCAGTCTTGCAAGCTACCAGTTAGCCTTTGTGACAAAATAGAGAATATTGTTCTCCGTTTTATATGGGGGGCTGGCTCGAAATCAAATCGTATTGCATTGATTAATTGGAACTCTTTGTTAACCTTTACAACGCGTTGAACTAGGAATTCGCAGCACAAGAGGTATGAACATCGCTTTCATCATCAAAATTTGTAATGCTTCGTCCAATCTCCTGACTTTTTTGGGTTCTACTACTCTGAGAGAAATACAAAATGAAGACTCGGTCCGACTTCCATTGCCCTCGCAACAGCCCCCTTTTTGGCGTTCAATTGTTGGAATATGGTCTCAATTACATGCAAACTTAGCATGGTCAGTAGGGAGTGAGGAGTCGATTAATTTTTGGAAGGATAATTGGATCCCAGATTTTGTCCTTATTCATTGTTACGCCAATCCAGGAATCAACAAAAAAGTTAATCTTATGGTTCAAAATCTTGTCTCTAATGATGACTCGTAGAATTGGTTGATTCTACATCAATTGCTTTCTAATCTAGCCCTCATATATTTCAGTAATATCGAACAACCAAACCTTGATCTTAGACCTGATTGTTGCTATTGGAAAGATGTTTTAAGTAGAAAATTTTCCACAAAGAGTTCTTATACTCTTCTACACTTACCTATTTGGAATGATACTGATCAGCGTTGAAAACTGATTTGGAAATTGCTTATCCCCAAACACGTTTATGGCTTTTTATAGTTTGTAAGGAATGGTAAAATTCTTTCCAAACATTTCATACCCTGATTTTTTTTTGTTTAATTTAACTTACTAATTAATTGGATTTTATTTAGGACCAATATGTAAGATTCTGAAGATTTCAAGACAATTCTTGGAAGTTTAGGGACTCATGCTTGAATTTGTTCATCACTAGTCTACAAAACAAGAAAGAAATAAAAAAAGGTGTCCGTTGTGATTTGAATCCATGACCCAAGGAGCAGGGTGACATGCCTTAGCCATTAGGCTACGACACTATGCCTTAAAATAATAAAAATCACATTTTATATTTGTTTAAATCAAATCCGGTAAGAAACAAAACAAACCCCCCTTTCAAAAAGCACATCATCAATCCCCTTCGCCCCTGACCAATCAATTGTCGTCCAACAATTGTGCTCGTCACCACCCCTACTAAAGTGATCGTTGGCCTCCCGCGAACAAAACCCCCTTGGTCTTTCATCGTGAATCGTGATCGTCAGTTGTAGAAGAGCTCTCGAATGTTAGTCGGAGTCCTTAACTGCCACCTTGGATTTTCATGATTTCTGGCAAATCTTGAGAACCGGTGAACTCACCGCCACCAACTTGGGACCCTTCGTCCCTTTTTGAAAAAAACCGTACTGAATCATCGATTCACCATTGTTATTCTTGTCATCTACCATGGTAAGCCTCTGATATCTTTTCTGCTCGTTTTTTGTCGATGTAGCTGGATTTTTGAGTTGTTTTGAGCCGATTGTATCGAGTTGTTACTATTGCAATGATTGCTCTTCATCCCCGTCTTTGTTGCCAGCTGCACGCGCCATCAGGCAATACCCTGGTGTGTGAGCTTTGTTATTTTCTGGTCAAACCTTCTAGACCGGCCGGACATTTTTGAACTGATTAAATCGGCCTAAGCCGTTTAAGCCGAGCCACCTGAGTCGTGAGCTGAACTGTCCAATAAGTCGAGCCATGAGTCAAGTCGACCCTTGACTTGACTAAAGATTGTCTTTGACTTTGATCAAAGTTAACCGTTAACTTTAATTAAAAAATTAATTTTTTTAAATAAATCATAGTTTATGTTTTTTGATGTCTCATTTCGAATCCAAAATATTTTTTGTCAAATTTAAATATGATAAGTTATTTTTTAGTGTTTTATCTTCTAATTCGATACAAATTTTCACGTTTAAGATCTATTTCTGATGCAAATCATTTTGTCTTGTATCTGAGATATTATGGGGCGTTGAATTCAAGGACGAGAGAGATCAAATGGAATTTAAATGGTTTACTGATGTGGTTCAAAAATCGAGACAATATATTATTATTACTACTTTTTGCATGCTTTACGAAACATGTTGGTAGTGGTTATTGTATAAAAAATATTACTGGTCAATTAGGTAGAATTAACTATTGTTGGACATGAACTGAATTTTGTTAGAAGTTAATAAACTGAATAACACTCAGATAACTCGTATAAGAAATTGGAAGACTAATAGGAAATAATACCAAGTTCATTGATTAAATAGTAAATAAATTAGCCTCATGATCCGTATTTTCAAATTAACTTCTTTAAAGGTTAAATGATGAGAATACTTAGATAAAAAATTATGAAAATACCCCTATTAAGTAAAATTAAGAAAATACCCTTGTGTTGTAAAAAGATCAAGATTATCACTATAAGTGAAAAATAACCCTAAAAATACATACTTAATCCAAATTAAACTACTAAGACACCTTTTAAATGCTTGTTTTGTTTAGAAAACTTTTGATATCCAATTTTAAGCTCTAAGATGGCAAAAGACTTAGAACTCTGATTCTTGAATAAACACATGAAGACTAATTTCTTGGAAGTAATGCAAATGTTATAATTGAATGAAATGACTGAAATTCCCTTGAGATGAAAAAGGGACCTGGATTTCCCCATATAGTGAAATGACCTAAAAATTCGTTCATGTCTTGATAAAACTACGGATTTGTAGATTAAATTCATGATCTGCTTGGAAAAGTAAAAACGATTCCTAGCCTTCGTGATTGCTATATAATTAGATACTTTGATTTCTGAATAATTATCTGAAGACCCATTTGCCGGAAGCACTTTATATGGATGAATTGATTAAAATGACCAAACTACTATGGAATTATAAAATGAATAGAATAACCTTGAGTACTAAAATAACCCAAATACCCTCATAATATAGATTAAGGAAATGCTTGGGATTAAGTTTTGAAAGTACCGATGAAGCTTAAAATGTTGAAACGTCCCTAAGGATTCTTTTTTTGAGTATATCCTAAGGATGTTAGCCATCCCTGTTACTATTACAATACTGGGAACAAATATCATCTAAATACATGTTATTCTCCTCAAGATTCGACTAATGATATTTTGAAAGTGATTAGTTCAACTAATGCAATAAGTGTTAGGAAGCACTAATCGAAATTGTTGGCCTTTTCTGTCATTGTTACAATACCGAAATCAAATAAATACCACTTGGATACATGTATGTATCTTCAAGACTTGGCCACCAATGATTTGTGTTGGTGACCTGTTCAGCTATAATATGTCGTTGCTACAATGGAATGAACATTCGTAAGTCATCTTTGTCCGAATATTTGGTAAATATTGCATTGTTAAGATTGTTGAGTTTGATTGTACTGAAGGATCGATAAGTCGTTAAAAGTCTATAATAATGTAAATTATCATTTTATCCTCATTAGACCAAATTACCAAGTTTTCTCTTGGTAGCAAATAACTAAAATTCTCTAATGGCCTGAATAATGGAATCGCTCTAGTTATATCTGAATCCTAGTAAGTTTGATGTAATAAGTTCCTGAATACCTTCCTGGTGTAATGGAATCCTAAATGTTACTGAAGCAGCAAATTCTAAGGTTTGATTAAATCACTTAGTAACTGAACCCCTTTTGTAGGGACATCATTTCTAAAATCTGATCAACTTGTAGAAGTTTGTATTTCCCTTCCTAAAAATTACCTAGTGCCTCCAAAAAAATATTTGGACCCTCTAGTGTATTTCTTATACACATAAATATTTTTCTGATTTTTAAAAGTATGATTTTGATATCTGAAATAAAAACTTGATCTTTGATCTCTATTTTTCGATACAAATTATATATGGCTATGTATTTATGATATTTCTGGTTTCTATTAACCTAGTTTATATTTGGTATTATCCGAGATCTATTATGGAGTTCTACAAGTTCAACTCTGATCAATCTGATAATTCTTTATGGACCTAAGGTGAACCTTGGGTGGGCTCCTAGGCCCAATGGGCCTAATGGTAAGACCTTATGGACCATAAGGCACTCCCTTAGGGTGGCTCATTTACTTTGTGCATTGGGTAAGTCCTTATGGACCTGGGGGCACTCCCCTCTGGTGGCTCATTTGCTGTGTGCATTGGGTCCTTATGAACATGGGGGCACTCCCCTCAGGTGGCTCCTACGCTTCGGCTAGGTTAAGTCCTTATGGACCTAGGGTGCTCTCTTTGGCTAGTTCTTACACCCAATAAGCCTAGTGTAAGTCCTTATGGATGCAATTCTAGAGAACTACATATGGAGTGATCGGTTAGATGGTATTATTGTGTTTTTTTAAATTTATTTTACTGAAATAAACTATTGTTTCTGGTTTTAATGGAACGCACTAGACTCCCTAACTTCATCTTTTGAATCTGTCTCCCTGAATGTTTTCTCCAAACTATAAGCTTGATGTCTGTTACTGGAAACCATTTATTGTATCTTCCAATGCCTCACTAGAGCTAGTAGATACCTGGTTTACTAAGGAAATTTCATGCTTTACCATATACATGCTTGACCTTTAGCATCATTGGTAGTTTTATATTATTGATCTTCACAAGCTCTCTCTGTTATCGATGACAGCGAGGGAGTTCCCTTGATGTTGCTTGCAGAATACGACACATGTGTAATGAGGGGGCGTGTAGTTCACATTTGATTTTTATACCGAGTTTGAAACCTATATGATTTCAATTCTATATATAATATATGATTGGTTTCCTGAACTTGTATTTGATTTATAAAATTGCTTTATGATTTTACAAGTTTTAACAAAAAATCTAATTTTGTTGGTATTTTTATGGGTCATTCTGGTGGTTCTAATGTAACACCTCATATTGGATTAAGTCACCCGTATCAGTCTGAGGGGGTTACAAATCATAACAGATGTTGTAACACACATAGTTCGTATACGTCTCGAAATACGAGCTAAAGATGTTACATCAACTTTATAAATATTGAATGAGCATAAATACTTAAAATTTTGTTTTATTCTAAAACATTTATCGCTAACTTCAAATATATTTCATCAATCACGTAAAATCATAAAATAATATTTAACCATTAAAAACAAATATATTTTTAAGTACTAAGAAGGAAGTTTAGTGTTATTTCCTAAACTATGTAGAACTGTCTATGCACTACTTCATTTAAAAATCATTTAAAACATAATTATATATTTAAACTATTCATTCATAAATACGGATATGACTAGATTAGTCAAAATAAAAAAGTCCTATATTACTATTACGGGCCATTTAAATTTAAATTCGAATAAGTAAACTAATAACATAAATATACATGTCACTACTAGTTAAAAGTAACATCGAATATGTCTTACTGATATTGATAATATAGATGATATCCAAAAAGATGCTCGGGAGGCTCTTCACTGCAAGTCTGTATCTTTATCAGAACCTACACTTGAAAATCATCATGAGCTAAGTATAGCTTAGTGAGGAAGTAGTAAGCTAAGGTTAGGTAAAATATAAAAATATCATAAATACTCGAAACATTTAAAATGAATTAAATAAAAACATTAAATATTCAAACCAACTTATTCAAGTCAAGTACTTCATCGTAACCTGAAAATCAACTTGTTTTATATTCTTATAAAAATCATGATAAATAATATCAGATAGTATAAACATATCATATTTCCTGCCAACTTAACATCTTCATGACTTTCATATTTCATTTTCATAGCCCAAAAAATATTTAAGATAATAATAGGTACGTGAGTAGAACATAAGGTGCGCACTAGGCACATCATGCTGCCAATCATAACATATCATAAGATACACATCATGGTGCCAATCATAACATAAGCACCAATGGTACAATACATAAGGTACAAGAATGTACCATTAACTTGAAAATACTCAGCTTAATGCATGTCAGATCTCAATGTGACTCCAATGCAACATATAATGGACTTTTAGATCATATCATAATCATTTAAAAATCAACATTTCAATAATTAGAATCATTGTAGTTCATAATCGTAAAAACATAAACTTGGGTAGTTCATACCCTAAATCAATTACAAAACTTAATGAAAATGTTATGAAAATAATCAATGATTAAATAATAAATTATACTTTAAAAATAATATGAGGATGACTTATTGTAGTTCATACTCAAATCTTAGAACCTTTTTCTAGGGTGATACTTTAAGAGATACTTTATCCCCTTCTTGAAACTCAATCTCTTTTCTTT